AATTATATAATTTTAATAAAATAGCATAAAAAATTAAATTTAATCTAGCACCATATATAAGCATTTGTAGACCTGAATGAAGCCAGTGCTCATGCCAAAAGAAGATATCAGTGCGATCACCGCACATTGCTAGAAATATTAACTCAAAACGAAAAAAAGTTACGCGGAACACGAGAAAGTACCTCAGAAATATAGTATACTAATACTGTACATGCCACATCATATGGATTCCCTTAAGGATTCCCCTATATATGTAAGGCCTTTATTCAAAAAAATATAGTGTCTTGGTCAAATTAACTCAAAATTAGTAACCGGGCCTTCAGATCAATGTTTGTTTTCAAACTTTAATGTTTAGATTTAATTGATTAAGAGTTTGATTTTCATTAATGATTTGAAGAAACCCTTCATTCTCCAAAATTTTTCATGTTTAAAAAAAAGGTTTAACTCAAAATGAGAAAAGTCAGAGTTACGGAATGGATTTGCTGTGATATATAGTTTGACTTAGGTGACGATAGCTGCACTAACATAAGTGATTCAATTAATATCTTAAATCACTTTAATTATCATATGATATCACCTTATATATCATATAAATATATTAAATGAAAATCACTATCTTTCTTTCTTTTTTGCTTTTTGGTTTGGAGCAGTGGATGTTCTGACCCCCAATTATCAGGATACAATTTTCCACTCATGGACATTTGCGGGATACGGGACAATTATAAATTTTGCGTGGATGATGCCCCCATAAATTGCTCAGGGTAACCTGCTTCTCCTTCTCCTTCTCCAAAACTTCATAGCTTACCAAGGTTCCTTTTTTATTTTTATTTTTTTCCTGAGCTTACTAGAACAAATGGCTTTGGTTTCAACCCAAGAACTGCCCATGTATTCTACTTCTCCCCGTGCAAAGCTCACCTTACCCCAAGCTGTGGTTGAGCAGATGCCTGTGCTTTTTCCACCAACATTACAAATTGATAGAAGGGCAGAATTGACTATGTTTAATTTCCGAGGCCCTAATGTGGCTGAATTTGTAGTAACCGCATCACTTCAAAAACAAGGGCAAGATGGTGTGAGGGTGGTTCTCTTGGAAAGTGGGTGGAAGCCTGTGGTTAGGGAGCTTGGATTGAGAGAAGGAGACACGGTGAGGATTCTTCTCTTGGACAACACGGCGTGGACTTATTCCATTGCAGTGGAAAGGGCGTTCGATCTGAACGAGCCTCCCGAGCCCAACATGTAGATCAATCTCAACGATGAAGAGTGAAGAGGGGAGTAGGAGACTGATCTGAGTGTTACGTTAGTGTCATACCCATCCACGAATATGCATTCAATTTCTTTGCTTGTAACTCTTTTTTTTGGTTTTTTTGTTGGAATTTTTTTTTTTTTGGGTACTCGTGTGGTTTAGAGTTGTTAAGATGGATTTGATTTTAGTTGTTGGGTTGCAAGTGGATGGCTTACTGTTTGTCCTATTGTCCTAGTTTGTTTCATACGTTTGAGTTTATGAATAAAACTATCTATATATAAATCGCGATTAGTTTTTCCTTAATTTAATTCAAGAGATGTTTTAGTAGTAATTTCTCAGGCAGTAGCCCGTGAAAAAAAGTTCCGGTGAGATGACA